GATTTTAAATTTTGACCCGGCCGGGTTATGAAAACCAATTAATTAATTTTGCATGGCCTTAGATGTTTAAAACTTACCGAGCCAAATACTACATTTTTAATTCCCTGATCAGTTTTAAATTGAGTTGACGCCAATGTATCTTCTTGAGTCGAAACACCTAAAGTTATTGAGGAAGTTTTTTCTTGAGTAAACTCCATAACAAAGTAAAGTTGATAAAAATCAATAAGTTTAGAAGATTTTTTTTTTACAAACAATTAAGAAAGTAGGTTAGGATCCTCTCCTTCTAAATATTCGAATAATATCAGCATGACTCGATCACCCCCCACCTATTAACAATAATGACAATCATGAGTGACGAAATTGATTACTTAATAATAAAAAAAACTTCCATAAATGTATCAGGTATTCATAATTCATTGTTTTTTCCGGTCACGAGGGGTACACTTAGGGGTTCGCATGTTATAAAAAATGTGAATGATCAAAAAAGATCGCACTTTTGTATATACTTTTGTATGAGATAAAAACAATAAATTTTGTTTATTATTGTCCGGAGAGAAGCGAAGGTAAAAAAAGTTTTTAGCCTCTATATGAGATAGATAAGCAATAAATACTAAAATACAGCTACACTAAGCCATAAAAGAAACACTATAACTAGTTGTTGAAGCGTTCGAATTGAAAAAAATATTGATTTGCTAAATTTAGTCATTCACCTTTTGAATACGTATCTATGTATGTTTGAAAATAAATAGATCGATAATTATTTTTGAATTCAAACCAAAATATTATTTTGGGTGTTTTCAATCAATTAAATAATGTCGCAGATCATAATGATCAATAACGATATTTATAGAATTAAATGCTTGCTTGAGCATTACTCTTTTTCTATTTTTCGTGATCTACATTATGCCACCCAAAACACCTAAAAAAATTTTCTATTTTAACCGGTTTCCGAAACTTTAATTTCGGCTGCGTCGGCTTCTCCATTTAATGATTTTACTTTTCAATCATTAGCGATAGTTGCTTTACAGCAACAAGAAATAAAAATTTTTTTTTCTTGCGGATCTTAATACGTATTTAAATGTTATTGAACGAAAAATAGAATTCATTGTGATTTGATTAAATGTTAAAAGACGGTATGTTTATATCAAGATATCGAGAATTAAAAATAAAGTGACTATTTGTTGAGAATTCATTGTTTATGTTTGATATGTAAAAAATTAAAAGTAATGCTTAAGCGACCTTTATCAATAGTAAATTTTTGAAGAAAAAAGATGGGTTAGTGCGTAACGTTATGAGTATTTGGGAAAAATTTTCTTAAATTCAAATATCGATGTTCAATCAATTTCAATATTTAAGATAAAAATATAATTTTGAAACTTTGAACAAGAATTGTAGTAAATCATTATATGATATTACGTGACAAGACTTGCGCTAAGTGTAGAGCATCTACTCAGGAATATAGTGAATACTCACAACGGTACATACTAACCCAAATTACAAATTGTACATTAATGCATTGGCACTAGATTATTAGACTTGGTGTGCCAGCTCTATAAAAGTTCTCACCAACGTTTATTTACATAACAAAAATTACATGTCAGAAACTTACACGTCAAAATTACGCAAATTTCTATCCTATATATCCCTATATCCCTATATATAAAAACATATGCATTATATATGATACTTGTTCTACAGATAATCTTAACATTATAGATGTCGACACGTTCAATATTATTAAATTTTCGTTTAAATACTTGTCCGACATGTTTAGTGTATTTGATTTGTGCGAACACATATATATTTCAAATTACAACGTAATCTATATGTATGTAAGTTGTAATTTATATACCGATCATGTCGAAGTCACTACTTGAATCGGCAGAAAAATTAGATTTATTTTTTTATGTTGTAATCATGTTTATTCAAATTAAAACTCAGTTACTAATGACGACTTGAGATCATGATCAATATCATGTACATAACAGCTGTAAAAAAATTTTTTTTGAAACCCCACCCGAAACAATTAATTAAATTTGTATGGTCTAAGGAACAAATCCTGTTATTTTAATAAAATTTTGTGGTATAACTCGTATTTTCTTATAATTTATTATAGAATTTATAATATAAAAATCAAACTTTTTTTGTTAATTTGGGCACTTTTCTCAGCACCTGGCTCATATTTATCAACAAGATAATATTGCAAAATTTGTATGCTTAAAATTTTTAATGATTTATCGCTCATTACGAGTTTATTGATATTCATAGTGCTTAATTTCTAATAATCATACTAATCATACACATGTATCATAAATTTTTTAATTTGATAATACAATAAAGATTTGCTAATTTCTTAATAATCAATATCCATTGTCATATATTTATCAATATTAATTTTATCAAATATTTTCAATCCTAATATTATCTTGACTAGAAGAAACATATGTTATAAATTTGCTAGTATAATTTGCCTCAGAATGTTTACTAAAGGATGTATTATCTTGACTAGAAGAAATATATGGTATAAATTTGCTAGTATAATTTGCCTCAAAATGTTTACTAAAGGATGTATTTCGGATGGCATGAGATTTAACTTGGGTTTTTGCCATTTGTTCAAATTCTATCTGATATTTATAATCATACTTCCAATCTTGAATAATTTCACAAATTTCTGCTGCTATCGGACGTTTCTCTGGATTTTCATTCCAGCATTTTTTCATTAAATTTTCATAGCATGTAGCTGTACCATAAATAATATTTGGTCTTAAGCCTTCACAAACACTGAGCTGAAAAGCAAGTCTTTGATCTTGGTCTGAAAATATCAATGCCGGTCTTCCTGAAATGATCTCCCACATGATTATTCCGAATGAATAGACATCTGGTTTTGTAGTGAATAGTTTGCCACGCAATACTTCGGGTGCTACATAAGCTAAAACTCCATAAACTCCCCCTGACATTTCTTTATTCTCTATTTCTGCAAGTTCTAAATCGGCAATATATGCATTATATAAATTATTTTGCAAAATATTACCACTATGTAAGTCTCGATGGATAAGTCCTTCTGAGTGAATAATTTTAAGATCAGATGCAATAAAAGACAATAAGTTGATTTTGTCTCTCCAATTTTGCTATGCACACTGTAAAGATTTGATCTTAAAGAGCCCTTTAATGCATATTGCAAGACAAGGATATAATCATTTGTTTGCCCATCTCTTGATATGCCATAACAATTTAAGAATGTTGGATAGTTGCAACAAATAGCATGGTGTATATTTAACTTCATTTTAAAATAAAATCACAACTTATTAGCATTTATCACTATATAATAAACATATTAAGCTTTTAATTGAAACTTCTAAATATAAAATCGATTAAATTTACCTCATTAATAAATTTATCATTATTATTTAATCCATGAATTAATTTGAGTACAACAGCTTTTTTTTCACTATGGTTGGTCCAATCAGTATAATATACAGTTAAAAATCCACCATTTCCGATTTCTTTAATATTTTCAAATTCCCCATAAAAAATCTTTGAAAATGAATATTTATTCTCACGCAATGCATTTTCTACATTGCTATTAATGTTAAGATAATTATCGGGCGACCTAATAATTAAATATTATATTAAATTTTAAGTATGTATTTAAATTAGTGATTTTAAAGACTTTAAAATAAATTTCATACTCACAATCTAGTGATTTAAAAAGTATACAATAAATAATAAAATAATAATTAATAGTAACAAATACTTATTCTAAATTAAACTTGATTGTCATCACCCTCATCGATGATTAAATGTGATATTTTTACTGATTATAATCGATATAAATTGAAGCTAATCGATTTGTATATTGACTATAATCAATTATTGCAGTTTGCATAATTTGTGAAATTTGCAGATCAAAAAAAAAAAAAAATCACTACGTAAGAAATCGCTCGATTGTTAGGTAATTTCTGATTTCTTAAAACTATTCTGATATCTGAATATGAAATTTCACATCGGAGTGATTCTGATTTCTTAAAACTATTCTGATATCTGGATGTGAAATTTCACATCGGAGTGATTCTGATTTCTTAAAACTATTCTGATATCTGGATATGAAATTTTCAAATCGGAGTGATTTCTTTTTTATGCAAACACTAGGGATGGTAAAAAAACATTTTTCACTGTTTTAAAACATGTGATGTTTATAATCTTGACATGCTGAGTTTTAAATTTTAATATATTCTGACCACAGCATCACATGTTTTAAAACAGTAAAAAATGTTTTTTTATCATCCCTAGCAAACACCCATACAGATGGCATTCAGTTAAAATCAATTGATTGTGATCAATTATCAATTACGCATAATCAAATTTAAATTTTTCTGATGTTCTTATTTGGAGATAGTCTAAAGCCAAGTATATATATATAAGGTTTTTAAATTGATTACTAATCGATTTGTAAATTAAAAGATGCGTGGCACATATAAAATACTACAAGGCTTTAGACGACCTCCTTATTTGGCAATTAAACTTCATACTTACATGCTAATATTTTAATACGTATATATTAAATTGATTAAAAATAGTAATTTATAAATTTTTATTTGACAACTAAAATCTATTCTTACAACCTAATATTTTAATATTAAATTGATTAAAAAATAGTAATTTATAAATCCTTATTTGGCAACTAAAATTTATACTTATACGCTAATATTTTAATATTAAATTGATTAAAAATAGTAATTTATAAATCTTTATTTGGTAACTAAAATTTATACTTACGGTCTAATACGTATTTTAATAGTTTAATATTAAATTAATTAAATTAAAAAATAGTAATTTATAAACCCTTATTTAGCAACTAAAATTTATACTTACTCGCTAATATTTTAATATTAAATTGATAATTAAAAAATAGTAATCACTTATAAATTCTTATTTGATAGCTAAATTTTATACTTACTATCTAATATTTTAATATTAAATTGATTAAAAAATATATAGTAATTTATAAATTCTTATTTGACAATCAATCTTTATACTTACTTGCTAATATTTTAATATTAAATTGATTAAAAATACATAGTAATTTATAAATTCTTATTTGACAATCAATCTTTATACTTACTTGCTAATATTTTAATATTAAATTTAATAATTTATAATCCTTATTTGGCAATTAAAATTTATACTTACCACCTAA